TAATATTCGGGATGGTATACCGATGCGCTTGCTGCTGTTTGTATACCTGCTTCGACGGATGATAATTTCGGCGAGTGTTTTGCATTTTCGTACGTTCGTGGCGTTCGAGTATCATTCATTGACGTTCGAATCTCTTCGACGTTCAAAACACGTGTAATCCGCAGTAAATGTTTTCTTTTCAATTTTCAATTATTCCTTTCTTTTTTTAATGTCGACGATGTGATAAAAGTTAGCCCCATCGGATAGAAATTTCGTAAAAGGAATGTTTCGTATCAAGAGTACGCGCGTTGATCATTTCTCGCAACATTTTTTACAAAACTACTAAATTGCCAGTCGACAGGACGGCCATTAAAGTATTAAAACACCGGCCGATCGGTGAACTTCACAAATCATCAACGGATTAAGCGCCACTTCGAGTAATACGTTATTACGGGTGACCGTGTGATTTAGAGACACGGTGGTGCATATCTACATACACGTTTAAACAGTCCTAGACTTAACAACGAACGCTCGGCCACAAAGCTACCCGTCGAGAAATCCTCAACTATTAGTGGCCGGAGCTAATCTCTATCGCTACGATTTATTGCTCATATCAATAGGGGCTTCTGCTTTAATCGCACTTATGCATAAATCATGACAGATTAACCGAAGAACTTGCTGGGCGGAAAGCGTGCGACGAATCTCGGGGAAAAGAAGATCCGAATAGGGCCTCGAGAACGCGACTGGCACACATACGGTACGCGCAATCAACGTCAAAAAGAATTTCACTTCAAGAGGATATCTCTCGTGGAAAGTATTCTAAGCGTCATTTAGAGCGCAGACCCGTCATCCTCGACAAAGTACTTGCGTACAGACTGATCGATAGCTGTTGGTCTTTTCGTTAATGCGTTTTAATTAATGCCGGCGTTTGTTAGATCTCTCGGTTTGACGGTTCATTTGAAATTTACTCGAATCGTGTATTTTTGCTGGCAAAGTGGTAATTTTGATTAACGACAGAAATGACAGAACTTAAATTAAATACTCGAATCATTTCCCTGATATTTAGCTTTACAGAATCGTACGACTTCTATTATCTCCATATTATCTAGGAATTTTTAAATTTTTTAGCGTCGTATCGGTGTAATTTTAAAAAATCCTTACTTTTCACTGGCAAACATTACGATTAAATTTATCTAGCTCTTTAAAATAGTTAAAAAAAAAAACTCTAAGAAGTTTTAACATTTTATTAAACTCGAATATATCTATACACACACACACACAAAATTCTATATCTATCTATAATGAAAAAGTCATTAGACAGAAAATAAAAAATTGAGAAGCGTAGATGCAATTGAAATTCAGCTAAAAGTTCCTAGAATAGAATTATGAATAAACCAGGCTAGGAATTTTTTTATATCTCACTAGCAAACACAATTCTGAATTAACCTTCTGAACTTTATATCGTACGATATCGCGTTATTTCTGTTGAATGTATCTATAGCTAAAATTGATTCATGGTTAGCGTGTATAAATAAGTATCGCCATTGACGAGTTTATTTTCGTGTCATACGCGGGACTCTTGACATTCATAAAAGCTTCGCCGGTACCAGAACAAACTTTCCAATAATACATCAACGACATAACCTATCTTCAACGCTTTTTTAATTTTTTTTTTTTTTTCATTTTTTTTCCCTCATCGACAGAACAACTTCCCCAACCAAACCGCAAAAAGTAATATTTTTCCCTCCCCCTCCCCAATCGAATCCCGTGACCTATGAAAAAGATGCGCTCCATGACGAAATTTAATTAAAAACCGCCCCCGCGAAAAATTACCCGCACCCTCGGCACGAAATCGATAGTTCGTACGATCCAAAACTCCGACCCCCTCGACACTGCGGAACGACAATACGCAGCATTTCGTTAGCAACACGTGCAAACGTTCTACATTCGATATCACGAGTGCCGCGCGTTGCACAGGAAAATATATAGCCTCGATCGGAAATCCTAATAACTACAGCTGAAAATGGACGATGATTCTAGATAAAAAAANAAAAAAAAAAAAAAAAAAAGAAAAAAAAAGAAAAAGGAAATAAACAGAAGTATATAAAGCTTTTCCGCACAAATTTCTGTCTGTGAAAGAGAATTTCTAGATTTCTCATCAATCTCGAGAGTAATTAAACAAAAATTCTACTAGCAATTTTACCGTGACAACGGTGTTACAATCGCGAGTGCATTTCATTGAATATTCGTGAATATTTCGCTGCAAAGGGAAGAGATAATAAAAAGAGAGGCACGAAAGACGCAAGGAAAAAGGTAGAAACACAATATGATTGTTGCGTTTGGTGAATAAGTAACAGTCTCGATAAATGGCGTTATACGCGAATGCGCCGATTCTGAGCGCGAGGCACGTGCTTTTCTTTGCAAAAAGGGCGGAAAAGAGAGATGGAGGGGGGGCACCTGTTACCATCGCGATACATTATTTCGCGATATCCCGAATGATCCCTATTAAAACCGCGAAACGGGTCATTCACGGTTGCCGGGAGCGCGTTTACGCTTTCCGGGTAAAATGGGATTATCGTCGAGTTTGCAAAAGAGAGTTTACGCCCGTCTATGGTAATCGATGAGAAAAACAACGGAGAAAACACACTCCCGAAAAACAAATAACCAAAGCGACGATGATACCGACGACGATATCATTGTTTCCTCTATTTTAACGACGTTTTAAAAGTATAGAAGTACGAGTGTAGATAAGAGTCATTCTCACGAGTATCCATTGTATCGATATAACGCGCTGGAAAGATAAAAAGAAAAAAAAAAAAAAACCAACAACAGTGACCTCAATAACAACTAACAAGACGGAGACGCATCAACGAACGTTTCTTTCTCTTCTTTATTTGTTGCTCGATGTCGCATCAACTGCGGGATCGACCGAAAAAACGTCGGCATTAACATTACGGTTAATTTGTGTGTTATCGAGTAAACTCGATTTCCATCGAGATAATCTAGCATGCAACGTCGTTTTACGGTCGGTTTCCACCGGTGAAAAACGAAAAGAGGTTACACCCTTTTGACTCGGTGCGCAGGAGAATGCTCGAAAACAGTTTTAGCAACAATAAACCAGCGCGGAAAGGGTGGCGCGACATCTTTTGCAGCACGATGGTAGATCTTCCGAAATTGATCGTGCTTCGCAACGCGCATACTCTCATTACTACTTGCATATGACAATAAATGGACTTTTCCCCCATGGGAGGTATAAGACTGTACATGTGCGAACGATCGTGAGCTCACAGAAACGTACGAATGTTACAGGACGAGCACGAGTTTTTTCTGAGGGCAAAATCGTCGAACGCCGGCGATGACAACCTCGAGAAGATTGTTTTCACTGGGTGAGAAAGGCTGGGGGTTAAGGGGTGCGTCTGGTCTTTGACCAAAGTGTATCTATCTGATGGACAAGCTCGAACGAGAAAATGATTACTATCAACGATACTGGAATTTATACCGGAGATTAACGCTATTAGTATCGTTAGATTAATCAGGATCACTCATTATCATCCAAGTTTGACAAGACTACAACGTTGATACGATGTTTTCTATTCGTGACTTTCGGTAGAATGCAACGACAGAGACTTGTTCTTTACTCCCCCGCATACTCGGTACTCCCCATACGTACTTTCGTATTAATCTCCTGATTGTAAGTTTTGCATGTTAGTCGCGGGTACTTCAGTTAAGCCCCCTCACTCGACACACATACGACGCACGGTCGTCGACATCGTGCAATACGGTTTCATTTAGCTATGCTATAGGCACTCACCCGATGCTGCGCCGCGTGCCAGTAGGGTAGAATCCAACGGACGAGACGACGAACAAGCAATATTATCCAGTTTGGTTGACGATTGTTAGGTGACCGGCACTGTGATGCACGCTCGACAATGGCTGGCACATATTAAGTACACTGTGAGATGCACTGCTTGATGTACACGCACTTTTCACCGAACAACAGCCACCGATCGAGACGAAAGAACGGCAAGTCCGTACACACGCGTATTATTATTACATTCACTGACCGTCGAACCGGGGTTTTAATGAGCCATTCGTTGGCCAGTCACAGCGTTTCGATGAGAGAAATTCGCGAACCGCCTCTCGTCCCTGCTATCCTAGGCCCACGGTGGCCATTACACTCGTCGCCGCAACGAGAGAGCGTGTTTTGCTTTTTTCCAAAGGGACCAACAACTCGCCCGCTCCGAGACCGTGGAACCGACTGTCCTCGGGAGATTCGCGGTGCGGTCTCATCGACCAATCGTGGACCAGCTTTCACCGAGCGCCATCTTGCCTAGCCGAACGCTAAGGGGCCAAAACCCGAATGTTTGCGTAAACGTCCGAACCTTAACCACCCCTACCTACCCGATCGACGTATCTCCTCTGGCTTTTCTCATCCCTAACTTTCAATACGGATTTTATTGTTAGGATCACCCGCCCCTCTCTTCCTTTTTCCACTTTTCGTATCAACCAACTCGAGACTAAGAGTCTCGTATTTTCTCTTGCGAGAGAAGATGTCATTGCGTTAGTCTCTTTGAAAGAAGTTGGTAGCGTTGAACGAACACGCTTAATTGTTTCAGCATTAATTAAAACAATTAAAACATTCTTGGATGTTTCTTCCTTTTAGCTAGTTTAGCTTCTCAAAGTATTTTAGATACTCCCTTTTCACAGCGAAACGTTTCAACGTTTTAACGTCGCGTTACTGAATATCTCGCTTGAATCTTATAACCTTTAAATGCATTGTGAACAATTTTCTGACTCAATACGTACGTAATCTTTTTTATCAGTAGGCCTTTCAATGAAATTTGGTTTCGAGGTCGTGTAAAATATTTGAAATGAAAGATGTCAAAAAGACGAAGATGTAAATGTAATCAGGTTGCTTTTTTTTAAATAGTTATGAAAATACTAGTAGCGCCATCATTGAGAGAAATTAGACAATCTACTCGGTCGGTAATGTTATGGCATTGAAAAATAATATATATACATATATATACACACACGAAACTTTAGAGGTTATGGTCTACAAGGTCAAATTAGTTTTGTTTTCATTTTCAATAAAGATTGTGATCATTTGGCGACTAGTTTTGTATCGCTGTTGAATAGCTTTGCGTTATAATTGCCTCACTAATATTTACATTTACGTATTACTGTTTATTACTGATCAATAAAAAGTTAAATAATGGAAGGAACGAGTGAAAAAAAGAAGAAAGTATGGACTGATGAAGAGCGATTAGAACTTGCTTCGAAATTAGATACAGAGCTTGACGAATATATAAGTAATTTGGAAAAGAAAAGTTATACTGAAGGATGGCCAGAAGATCGGTGGGACGAGGAAATGGAAAAACATCCATTTTTCATGAAAAAGGCACCAGAACCTGGAGAAAAACTTTCTCCATTGATGGAGGGTCTATTACAGCTCAAATATGGAGAAGATGAGAATACACCTGAGGGTTTGAATTAATTTTTTCTTATTTAGTTTAATTACCTTATTATTTAATCCTGGAAGCATAACGAAGTAATATCTTTGTCCGAAATGTTTGTTTTCATTACTTCTTAGAAAGGTCGTGACTTATTCTTAATTATATTTTTTGATAGTTTTTCTGACAAAAGGTTTCAGACTATTCAATAGCATTTGAATTTGAAGTGATTGTTGCCTCAATAAAAGTATATTTTTCAGTCATTTGATCTCTGTTTTTATTTTTGAGATTAGAATATATGGTCTTAGCATTACGTGTATTTTTAGCATTGCAGGGTTAAATGTATAAAAAAATGTTTATGTAGATATTGGTACTATTACATTTGCATGTGTTTTATAGAACTTGCAAACAATTATAAAGAAGATGGAAATTTCAATTTTAAACATAAAAAGTATAGATTAGCTATTGTGAGTTACACAGAAGGAATAAGAACTAAATGCAAAGATACTAATTTAATGGCTCAGCTTTATAATAATAGAGCTGCTGCACATTATATGCTAAAAAATTTTAGGTATATTTGCTATTATAATACATACATACTTGATGTCGTAGTTTTGTTTTAATTTTATGAAGTTGTTTTTATTTTATATAAATTACAGATCAAGCTTAAATGATTGCAAGCTTGCACTGAAATTAACACCAAAGTATATAAAAGTTTCGAAGAGAGCTGCCAATTGTTGCTTTCATGTAAAAAATTATGAGCAATGTATTGACTTTTGCAATGAAATACTAAAAGAATGTCCCAACAACGACATGTCATTACGCTTAAAATCACAAGCAATAGCTGCAGGAGTAAGATATATTTGCGTATAAACTTGAAAAACTTATTATTATTTCCATTTATTATGTGGAACTTACATTTGAATATTTATAGGAACAATTGAAAATAGAGCAAAGAAACCAAGATAAATTAGAAAAGAAATTAGATAAAGGAAAAGAAGACTTATTAACTATAATAAGAAGCAGGGGTGTTAATTTAGAATTGATTGAAGGAAAAAGAATTCCAGTTTTAAAGGATTTAGAGCCTCAAACGCCACAGGTAGCACAGAGTAGGGTCCATCTGGATGCACAAAATAAACTGATTTGGCCAGTCATGATTTTATATCCAGAAATGCAGCAAACAGATTTTATACAAAATTTTCATGAAGACGCATCGTATGCTTTTATTTTATATATAAAATTTAACTGATAAAAAATGAATAATTTTACCACTTGCAATAAATTTGTTTGTTTAGGTTATTAGAACAATTGGAACAAGTGTTTAGCGTACCACCTGAATGGGATTCAGAGGAACGTTATACCATTGAAAACATAAATGTTTATTTTGAGGGGAAAGATAAATGTTCTTTGCACAAGGTGAACATCTGCCAATCTCTAGGGAAAATATTGCAGGATAAGCAGTAAGTTTGAAAATTAGGATAAAGAGAATTAAAAAACTTAAGTGACTATGAAATAAAAAATTTCAGGTATATAGTGCGCGGAGGAACGCCGACATTTTTAGTACTTGTTAACTCCAGCGAAGCAGAAAAGCGATTTTTAGCTAATTATTCAATACATTATCTGTAAATGTGTTTCTAAAAAATCAACATACCTGTTAATAATTAATAATTAGATTACGAATGTTTACATAGATTCATATATTTGTTAACATAATTAAAAAAATGGAATTTAGTTAGAAATCTATTTCAATTGTTTTGAATACTTTATATATTTTTGTACGTTATAAATCTATTAAAAAACCGCAGTCTGGTAATAATAATAACAATGTCTCCTTCTTATTGAGTAAAGTTTGAAAAAAAGCATCTTACAAATACTTTTATGTATTTCTGCTGATTATTTCGAAAAATGTTTTTATACTCTTGTTTCTACCAAAAATTAAGTGGCACACGCAAGTCCCATTTCATGCTAACCATGAAAGAAGGGATCGGTATAAGATCATAGATCGAGCAGTGGTGCCACCTGTAACACCTGCCAGAGCCAGATGGGCATAAAGAGTCAGGGCCTCAGTCAGAAATTCAGTTCAAGAGACGCTCTATAACGTGTGCAGGTGGTCCCAAAGCGGTTGCTTTTTTAATTATTGCGACTAAATTGTGTTAATACAGTGACGAAAAAGTGTTGTGTTGGAGATACGATCGAAACGATCGGAAATCGGCTCTTTATGAGTGGATGCTGAAGGTCATTCAATTCAAGTTTGAATCGTGAAACAAGAGGACGTTTGCAGCGTGGGAGAGAAGCGGAACGGGACGTAAACGATGCTAAAGCAATGCAGGCAAAATTTTGTACTTCTTCATATTTCTCTCTCTCTTTTTTTTTTTTCAATGGATCTTTTTATCGCGATCGGTTGTCAGTATATTTACTGACAATGAATATTTTTGTTCTATCATCTCTGTGTTTTATTTTATCATCTTTGATACTTTATAAAATGAAAAATACTCGAATTTTTTTCGAAGAAGAAGAAAAAAAAAAAAATTGAATTTAACGTTCGCGGAACAAAATTAAGGTTCGTCACTAATTAGGCGGATCTGCGGTTTCAGTTTTCATGGTTAAAAACGTGTATAATTTTTGCAAGTAACGTAACTTTTTTACGCTGGCAAGATTAATCTTGTTTTTAGACGAAATTCCGCGGAAAATTCGCGAGCTTTTATTATTACAACTATGGAGAGAAAGAGAGATTTTGTAACTTCATACGCAGATTCGTTTTAATTTTCGATCTAATGTAGTATTGCAGTTGCATAGAAACGGTGAATGTCACATCGCGCTGATGTCGATAAAAATCGCGTGTATCCGGGTTTTACAATCTTTAAAAACAACGCGCCACGGGTGAACGAATGGAAAATAAAGGAAAAACGCATTCACGAAGTGAATCAGTGTCAGATACGCTACAACTGACGTGATGTTATTAGTACATACCGATGAGACAATGGCGCGTGTTAAATTATTCATGAGGTCATTGTTGCATCGTAACGCAGATTCAAACGTCGAGCAATTTGAGGTGTGATGAAACCGCTTGCATTTGACTGGACGAAATTCGATTGAAATTGCTACTAAATTTTATCCACGCTGAATAAATTTTATTCAGTCTCGGTCTCGTGGAAAGAAAAAGGAAGGAAAGAAACAATTGATTATACCGAAATTCAAATCGTTTCACGCGGAAAACAGAAGCGTCTCGTAAGAAGAATTTTGCAATGGAATTATGTCTTGAAAAACCGTGAGGAAATTGCATGTATATATTCATAACTACTCTTTCTCTCATCGTTTCCCTCTCCCCTTTGCCATTTTTTTCTCATTCTCGCAAGATGGTTAATCTTCTCGTCAAACGAATCTCATTGAATCGCACGATAAGAGAAAAAGCTTAAACCACTTTATTAATTACTCGTCTCTATTCAATAGAGTGAAGGATCGATGCTCTGGATAAAATCAAGCACGCTTTATCTCTATTTCTGCATACGTACGTACGATCACTCTGTACGATCAAGATTAAATACACGCGTTTATCGCACAAGGATAAAGTGGGGATAAAGTTCGGCGCCATACCTCCTGCAAAATCTCGATGTTAATTCGTACGTGCAAATTTTGCATAATTCGTTCGGGAAGAACTGGTCCAGATTATCATGGTGAACATTCCCCGAACATGAATATCAATTGCGAGTAAAAACAAACGGATAGCGGATGTGAATCGCAGTCGATGGCCGTAATTTCATTATCCACATAGTCGAGTTACGCGACTTGCTAGTGAACAGGACAAGAAACAACACTGGCTGGTCGTTGGTGGGAGATGAGGTGGGGATGGTTACGTGTCCTAGTTTCGCGGACTACGGTGGACCACGATGCATCTTTGTCCGATACCCCGAAGCAAATGGCCGGTGTATGTCGAAAGAGTTGCGTCAGGCGGGAAAGAAAAATACGCGAGCCGGACCGGTTGTAACGAGTCAATCTGTTGGAGAGGAAAAAAATTCCGAGATATCGTGCGCGAGATAGAATCGTGTTACGTTCGGAGAGACATATCGAAGATAGCTATCTCGGAGTCTTTCTGTCGACGTACGCTGGTAAAAAGAGAAACCTCTTCGGGCAGAAAGAACGGGTTACCGAGAAGATACCGTACGTACACGTGCAATTACGCGCGCGTGAAATTCGACGAACGATAATCGAAAGATTTTTCATTCCCTACCCCCCTTTCCTCATTTGAATCCGTGTATTTCTAACAAAGAACGCGATTCAATTTGTTACAATTTATTGCAATCGTCGTGTCCTCTTTTGTAGTTATATAGTTGAACATCGTCTTTCAAAATGATGGATCTCCGTACTTTCTCCTTTATTTAGCTCTCGTTATTTTGTTTAAAAATATAGTTAAGTTATACGAGAGAATAACATCTTCCTCCATTTACTCCTCTCCTAGAGTTCGTCAACAGTTCGTTTAACGAAATGAAAAAGGGAACGAGAGAAAGCAGAATGAAAATATCAAGGCGGTGTTTTTTCTCGGACAATTTTGTCTCTTTAGTTACTTTTTATTTCGTTCTCTCTTCCTCTTCTAGTTGGTGTGGCTCGTTTGCTTGCAAAGAAATGATCGAAACGAGCGAGACAATGTTTCAATATACACGAGGCGACACGAGGAATCAGTATCACAATAGAATTACACTGCGATTTCAAGTTCCAACCCATGGAGGATTGTCACGAGCAGACAGATTCGGATCGTTGGAGACTCTCTCTCTCTCTCTCGCTCTCTTTTTGTTAAATCTCTATCTCTCTCCATCTTTATTTTCCTCTGCTTTTCGTTTGTTCTTTTCTTTCGCAAGCGATGATATTTCACACGAGTCTCTATGCTCGTATGTGTATGTAGCTGCATCAACGACACGGCTAACGGCATTCAGTCGACCTCATCATCCCGCTTCTCCACATTCAGCCGCACACATTCTTGCATCTCTTCTTGCTCTTATTATTACTTTTATCAATTTCCCACTTCTTCTCTCTCGTTCCCTTTGTTCTCTCGCCTTTTCTCTTTTCTTTTCTTTTCTTTTCTTTTCTTTTTTTTTTTTCCCCCTCTTTTGCTACTTTTCACTCGTCTTCCCTGTCAGCTCTTCACCCGATCATCTTTTGCCCTCGCTTTTTCTCCCGACGTTCGCTATTTTCCTCTCACGTCCGTGATCATTCCCCCTTGGTCTAGTTTCCCTTTGCCCGTCTGATTCTTTCATATTTCTGTCCGCGACAGAAACTAAGGACGCCCATTAAACTTGAATACTCGTTCAAATAATGGAGATTAATTCCGATTGTTTCATTTTCTCGGCCACGTGGTTGATTTTTCCCACAGTGTCTTTTCAACGATGCATCCAACTTGGTATCTAATTGGCACGAGTGTCCGTCGATACTACATACTAATATACATGTCAATGTTTCCCCGCGACTTGTAGTAGTCGTCGGAAACGATCAATTTATAATTTTTATTAGACACTTTTATAGACGCGTGTTTTTAAAATGTAAAGATTTGAATAATCTTTCGCAAAGTATACAAATGAACTCCATTGTATTGTATAATTGAATTTGTATCACTGTTACTACAATTTTGAGTAGTATTATAAAGTGTAAGTCGAATATTAGGGGACTTGGATTCAATTTGGTTGCGAGTTGTAAGAACTGTGAGCCTCGATATACAAGTCGAAAAAGTAAGTAAAGGATACATATGAAAAATGACGTTCTGAAACTTTAAACGAGTCTTTCTCGAAACTAGGTTTTTAGAAACGGTGTGCAAGATAATCTCGGAATATAACCGACCGATTACTGTGAAACTTGGTGCGTATCTTTAGTGTAACATTTACTAGGGATTGACGATCGAACATTTTCTAATTTTTAACAATCTCGACAAATATAAACGATAAACGTCGAAATTTTCGGCACAAATTCGATACATCAAAAGCAAATGGCTGCTATTTTCATAATTTTCACAAAAATGAAAATGTTGGATCGTCAATCTCTAGAGAATATTGTTTACTTTTGAACTTTCTTTGCCTTTTTGTTGCAACTAATCCTGTTTGGCTAGAATCACGCGCACCGATGGGCAATGTAGAAGAAAGTTATGTAAAAAGATGCCGTTAAAAAGTAAAATAAGAGCCCTCTTTTTTTTCTCTTTTAATGTTGCTTTTTATAGTTCAGAATTAAAATAAACCACAAAAGCTTATGTCAATCAAATATATACTAGCCGTCCAAATTCGTAATTTTATACTAGCCGTCCAAATTCGTAATTTTTAAGCCCGTCAAACTGTTCTGCCTCCTTAATCGTCGATAGTATTAATTCTAAATTATGCGTGCATCTTGGAATTAGAGATAACATGATGGCATGAAACGTATTAAAAGGATTAATGGATTAATTATCGCGTTTCTCCCATCGATGAAAAGGAATATCTCTGTCGAACTGTCCATTTATCCTCGCTAGTATCTCTCATTATCAGCTCTTAAGATAGATCCCGCGGTCCGTTATCGTTTTTCATTAACATAACAGGTATTAATGTCAACGATGTCGCGTCAAGGTTCTGATTACGAAAATCACCGTTGCCAACGATCATCGAGACCAGTTCCTACGTAACTCGTTCTCCTTTCCAACCGTGGAGACACCGTTCGGTTATTCACGAATCTTACAGAAATTTCGTTTGCGTTTTTTTTCGTTGTACAAATTTGAACGATCGACATGATGTTGTTGTTGATG